TAAAGGAGGGAAAGAGAGAGGGAAGGAGAAGGGAAGGAGGGATAGAGACAGGTACTTGACTTTGCTCAAGGTAACAATGTTTAAAAAGAGATCATAGAGGGCCTCCCCTGGTGGCGCAGCAGTACAGCGCTGGGCTGCCAGGCTGCCAGGCTGCCGGCAACCTCTGCAGCGCCGGTTCATTCCCTGGCCACCGGTGAGGGCCCCACAAAAAAAAAAAAAAAAAAAGACCATAGACAATGGATTTTTAAAGCTAGAAATCCAAGAGGAATCATTAAAATGTATATTAGAGAAATAGAGACTTGGAGAGAACATTCTATTGCATTGAGGGTTTTGTTTGTTTTACATTAACATCTCGTTACAATTATTCTTCCATTTTTGTTTCTACAAAGTATAGGGGAAAATATCTGAAACAGCACATACCAAAATGTTAAAAGTAAATTGTAGGTGAATTTTATCTTGTTTTGCTTCTGTCTTTTCTCAATTTCTCTATTGAATATATGTGAGTTACTTGTATTTTTTAAATTTTTTTAAAGAAATGTTCTATTTTCATGTGTTTCTATTTTCATTATTATTCTATTGAAATGCAAAGTAAGAGCAGTTACACCTGGGAATCTAATAATTCAACTGCTTCAGCATGCCCAAAACTCAGCTGGTGGGCATGATAAATGCCAATTCTTGGTTCTGCCTGCCCAGTCCTCCAAAACCTCTGATTGAAGGGATCTTGGAAAAGCCTCAGAATCGACATATCTAACAAGATCTCAAGGTGACTCTGTCACTGCCAACCTGGGAATACCACTTTGAGAAACACTGTGATATATACTACTCCTTATTGAGACGAAATCTTTTCTAAGGTTACATAATGCCCAATGTATTGAATATTGTAAATGTGGAAAACCAAGTGCCACCGTAATCTTCCTCCACATAACACCTCACCTTGCCCTCACCCCAGCCCAGTCTCCCCACTTGTGCTCCCCATTTGTGCCAAGCTCATTTGCTATCCAAAGTAAGGTTCACAACCGGCAGCAGCATTGCTACCTGAGGGCTTGCTGAAAATTGACTTTTTTGTATTTTGCATTTATTGTTGGAAACGCAGACTCTCAGTTTCCACTCCAGACCTACTGAATCAGAACTGCCATGTTAACTAGACTACACAGCCAGCAAGCACCCAGACTGAACGCCACAATCCCGTTACAAATTCCCCAGAAAACCCCCTTCTCAGAATCCTCTGTGGACAGATTCCCAGTGGGCACACCTAGTGCTCTCTGACCACCAAATGGCAAGCCAGCAGGAAACTGTCCCTTGGCCTGGGATCTGGAGGTCAGGTCAAGGATGTCTTTCCTGTGTTAGATGTGCCAGCTATCTTTGTCTCAGGCCAGACAACATCCTTTGTGGCCTCCCTCACCCAACTGGCGAGGGACCCAGATCCTCAAGTTCTCCCTTCAAAGCCCAGTGACTAAGCAGGAGCTAGGCCTATTCCATTCATTTCCCAAGGCCCCTCCCTACTGCTTTCTACAAAAACAGCTTAAGTCATCTTTAGCATCATATTAATAAATGTGGCAGTGTGAGAGCAAAAACACAGGAAAAGTCCAAGACAAAAAAGAAAAAACAAAAACCAATACACACACAGAGGCAGACTTCATCTCTGCAAAGCCGGATATTTCTTTTTCTTGCCTAGCAGGATATGGCATCTCCGGCATATTTTTTTTCTCCTATTTGTGTTCTTTTCTCTTTTCCTTTTTAAATAGACACATTTGAAATGTCAGTGGGTGATGGCAGGGCCAAGTCAGATTGGATTCAGGAGGCCAAATGGCTAAAGGGTTTTGATCTTTGCAGCTGCTTCTTTAAGGCAGTCTGGGGGAGACTGACCAGTGTGGAGAGAGTTCCCCAGAAGCTCAAGTGGACCTTCATTGTGATAACTTGGGCCCCTTCTCAGTTTAACCTTTATTTACAGACTTGAACCCAAATGGTTACAGGTTACAGGTTTGTAAAGAATGTACTCTACCCCCTTCTTCCTCGGCTCCTCTCCCCTGATCCCCAGAGGAGATGGGAAAGAAAAGGGCAGAGGTTAAGTGAGGAAGACAACAAAAGAAGAGGGCAGTCCTGAGCTAAAGCTGAGTGACTGACTTTGAATGGCAACTCTGTAACCAGTTCTCTCTCTTTTTTTTTTACACCTTCCTCCAAAAATCCCCAGAGAGACTTAGCCAAATATGCCCCCCCACCCTTTTCTAAGCCAGTCAAAGAAATGAGACGCCAAACATCTCCCTGCTCCAGAGGGACCAAGGCTGATCAGGCATCCTCTAGTCAGGGCTGAGGGTCCAGGGACGTCCCATATTTTAGCAGAGTAATTCAGACTTACTTGCCTAATGCCTCACTGAATCTTGTCATCACAGCAGCCAAGTAAAAATTATATCTGCCTGCCATGTGGAGCCGTAAATCCTGGAATGTAGCTTCAGTCGTTCCATATTTCAAGACAGGGAAGCTTATTTCTACAAGGCTGTTAATAACTAAAGTGACTGGATAAGGAAGGAAAAAGTTTGTGTCCACCATCAGCCCCTCACAGATCCGTCCTGGAGGAGGGACAGTATCTGAGGCCCCTGTTTGTCTGAGGCAGCTGACGTAGGACTGTCTGTGAAATGGGTTTGTGCACTCCTGGGTGTAAGCAGGAGTGTAAACAGGAGGTGCCTCTGCTCGCTAGAAGGGGCTGGGTGGCCCTCCAGTTTTAAAGCATCACTGGGAATCATGGCAGCATGATGCAAAGGGAGCTTGAAGAGCAAGCTAGAAGCAGAGGAAGGGCAGGAGATGTTGAACAAGACAGTGTTGAACAAGGCAGTGTTGTATAGACAGGATTAGAGTTGAAATGTGCCCTTGCAGGCTAGGCTAAGGCTGTGTGAGCAGAGCATTGGGTAAGCCCGGGGAATGGGGCCAGAATCTTGGACAGAAAGAAATGCCTGGTATGACTCAGACAGCCTTCCACAGATACTGCCTGGAAACCAAGTCACAACTCCCTGCCCTGCCCTCCAGTGACTCACAAAGGGAAGAATCACAATGGTCTGATGAGAATAGAAGAAAAAAAAAAAAAGAAAAGAAGAATGGAAAGGAAAGAGGGTGGGTGGGGGGAAAGAGAGAAGCAGAAGAGCAAAATAAGGAGGAAAAAATCAGGTTGGCTTTGCTTTATCTGGTGTTTTCCAACTTTATTAGACCATGAAATCATGTTTCCCTCTCATAGGAAATTTTATCTTTGCAAGGAATGCTGTGGGGTTCCAAGGAACTACTTTGGGAAATCCTGCATTATTTTTTTTAAACATTTGCCCTAAAAAGTATAGTGGAATGTACTGATTTTAAGTGCGCGTGCACACTTACATGTGCGCCTTTAGATCACTTAGCTCAAATTCTCACAACAGTGTGTTAAATGTTCCCATATCAACTGCTCAGTCAAATAACAAGTACTGACCAGTTTACATGAAAGTAAGAAACATATCATTTACATTAAGGTATAAAATACATTCATTAATGTTCCTGCATGCTCCATTTATTCTTGAACAGGCTACTTTTGAGGTTGAGTATTAAATTATAGCCTTCAGTATTGACCAGATGTGTTCCTCCTGAAAAAATTTGCTTAGTCTGGGATAGCAGATCTTGGCAGCTCTGGCCTAGCCTCTCCCACTCACTAGCTGTGTGACCTTTAACAAATCCATTAGCCTCTCTGGGCCTCCATTGCTTCATTGGTAGGATAAGATGTTGAACCAGATAATCTCTAAGGCCTATTCGGCATCAACATTTAGATGCTGAAAACTCTTGCCATAGCAAACCTCACTAACCACTATAGCCTCTCTATGATCTAAATATTAGACTTGTTTAATGTGAACAGATTTAATTTACTAAAAGCCTTTAATCAAAACCAAAACCTTTTACTTAAGCAATTAGAAAACAATTAGTTGGGGAAATAAAAACAATTTTAATTTGCTAAATGGGCTTCCTCCCCTAATAGATATGGACAAGACCCTAACTAATGTTTCTGACCACACAGAGACCACACAGGCTTCACTGAGTCTGTGTGGAGAGGCGCTGTTGGCTCCATTTGCTATTAGGGAAGTGAAAAGCACTCACATTAGCCTCAGTCTTTTGCAGTGATTCATGTTTAAACATATGCCTAATGTTTGCCATGCGTAGTGCTTCCTGATCATTGATCTTTCCTGGTGCCTGAACACAGATGGGTCTTGCATCACCCCACACCCTGCACCACACCTTTGTCATCACACCTCTCGAACCACCCTGGATTTATGTGCCTCTCCTGGAGACGGAGTGCCTCGAACACAGCTCTGAGCATGTGAGACACTCAACAGGCTCCTTTTTAATTAATGATATGTGAGAGCATCTGGCTCCAAATTCTAGTCACCACTAGTTACAAAATTGCTTTATTTGATGTGATGTTGAACGGGATCAATGAGCAAAGCTTCCATTTTCACCACTGTTCAATCTCAATGTAGAGAGTATTTAAAATACTGCTCTATTTAATAGAAAGGAATTTTTTGCAATTTATAACACCAAAAATGAAGCCATCACCATTTTAGAAGTTCACTCAGGCCAGTTCCCTTTTGTTTTTTTCAGTTCTTCTCCCTTTATCTTCTTTGAAATACACATATTTTAATCTTGGGCAAGTCATTTCATCCCTCTGGGCCTTCATTTTCGATTGATAAAGCAAAACAAAGGCTCACACCATCTCCCGTTCAGAAGCTCTTTTCCTCATTGGCTTGCCTTCCTTCATCTTCTCAAAATACACATATTTTTATCTTGGGTGAATTTCTGGTGGCTCCTTGGGGTAGTGAGGAGGTGGGTTTGCTGAGGGCCCTGAAGCTCGGTAGAGTAGACTATGAAGCAGGGTTTCTAATGCCAATATTGGAACAAGGGCACCTGTTTATTTTTCTTTTTCTCTCTCTTTTTACTTTTCAGCTCATGTACAACTTTCCTTAAATGCTCCTCTATTTTTTTTTCCTCCCTAGCTGCCATCACAGATCAGGTCCAAGGATGACTAAGACTTCAAATCCTGATCACCTGTACCTGCAGAGTGGTTCTGACTGGCCAGGTGTGTGACCTGGAAAAACATCCTTGGGCGGGCAGGGAGGCCTTTCAGCCAGTTTCCACATCTATAAGATGGCATATAATAGGAGCACCTGTCTCACGGAACTGTGGGGAAGCCTCAGTGATTTAACTCATGTAATCAGAACAATGTGTGGTCCAGTAAAGGATGGCATTTGTTACCCAGTTTGTCAGGAGAGAATGTTGGGTTGGCCACTGAGAAATCAACTTGCATGAGCTCAAAAGAAATTCTGGTGGAGAGAGGAGGTTTGAGGGAGCCTGCTATGGGGAGCACAACCAAGTATCCATGCCAGGAATGGACCCCTCAACCAACCAACCCCAAGGAAAGAGAGGATACAGCCAGCCTGGAATGTGAGGGCTCACACAGAAATGCTTTGGGGTTTGACAAAGCATGACCAAGAGTGAGAAAGAAGGAAGTTTTCCCAAAGCTTCTATATGGACCACGAAATTCCTTTTCTGCAGTGAGGCCTGAAAGAACCCAGCATCTGGCACACTGCAGGATGGGAACTTGTGGGGCCCCAGAGAGAGTGGCACCCATACAAATGTCAGCACAGATTTTATAGGATGGACTCCAGCCCAGGGGGTGGCATGGACAAATGATGCAACAGTGGACATCACCCCAGGGGCAGCAGCTGTACATAGATGGGCCAGGAGAGGCAAGACGTGCGCTTGAATGTCTCCCTGACATTCCATCACACAGATGTGAGAACGTGGGCCAGTGGAACCTGAGTGATGGCGTCCCATGGCCCTGGTGTGCATGCTCCCGTGAGGTCAGGGGACTCCGTGGTGGCCCTTCAGGATTAGATGTTTACTGGCCCTGAGCTGGACACATATCAACATAGAAGCTGCATACAAACATCAGCCTTCACCATCTGAACCACAGCTATCACCTTTTCTGAACCCAGTGGAATTAATTTTTGCTTGATCACTGATAAAAGGCAACCGAAGAATGTAGCTTGAAACTGCAGCCAACTCAGCCTCCTGACGCTACATCCCTGAGGCTGATGTAAGCTCCCTGCGCAAGCGGGGATGGGCAACCTCGGAGGTCTCCTCCAGAGGGAGCCCTCATTGCTGTGAGAAAACAGAGTCATTAGGGACCCTCCTGAAGGGGGGCAAGTGTGAAGATGATGGGGCTGAGCTGGGCATGCCAGGGCCCTTCCCCCAAACTTATCAGGTGAGGGGAAGAAGAAAGGCCAGGACTGTTAATCAAATGAAACTCTCTGCATAGAAAGACAAAAGGGGAAAAAAGCGGTCCTCCTGCCAACCTCATTTGGGGGTCACAAACTCAAATGCTTATGGGTGATGTGTAGCTATGTGATGCCTACATGAGTAGAAGAAGGTCAAGAGCAGCTGATGTAGGGTCAGGGAGAAGATAGGGTGGGGTAGAGGAGGTACTTGGGGAACAAGAGCCCCCATACCCCCTGCAAAGGTGACAACCCCCATGCTCAGTTGTTGCTGAGTAGGAGCACAGAGCCGGGGCCTGGCACAGCTTCTGAATTAAGATTCTTCTTGAAATATGAAATCTCCCAGCTATAAAACGATGACACAAAATTCAATCTCATATTGAATTCATCTGAGGGCTTTGGCTTGGGTCCTATTTTAGAGGAACCAAGTAATAACTTGGAAAGGGATAAGTTTCCAGAAGAATAGGGAGCCATATCCAAAGTCCTTTAAAAAATAAGGAATCCAGGGTGCTGGAGCTAGAAGACGTAGCTTGCAGGGACTCAAGGCCAGGGGAGCTGAGAGATCGCTTTGGGGCCCCAAATGGGGAGATTATAGTCCTTGTTCCATAAATATCAGAGGATGAAAGGGCTCCCTTCTAGGAAAGAGGAACTCTGCCAGCATCTGCCTTGTTCTCCAAGCTCACACCCTCTACTGTCGCAATTCATTCAAAAACCTAAGGAGCGGCAACCCCAGAGCCAAATGACTCACCCAGACTGGGAGGAATGTCCTTCTGTTCTTTCTTCCCTCACTAATTGTTTCCAGGGTTAGTTCTAGGGGCAGTCACCATCCAAAGGCCTACTCTTTCCTCCCTGCCCTCTTGAACAGGCCTCACAGGCTGCCCTGTGTGGCCAGTGCCCATTCATCTGGAACTAGCTGTTCACAGGTCCAGCTGAAAAGGCCTTTCATCCACTCATTATCCTTCTACCAAAACCTCAAACAGAAAGAGACTTCAAAGTGCCACTGCTGAGTTTAATTTCCAGTCTGTAGCAGTGCTCTTGAAAGCAGAGGCAAAGAGAAGTAGCCCCTCCATCCTCACATTCTGCCTCTGTGGACAAGGTCCTCATCTGTCTGTTATAACACCCCACCTGCTGTGCTCCTTCCCTGTGCTCCTTCCCTGTGCTTCTTCCATTATTAGGTCCAGTAGAGAAACAAAGGCTTTCAAGGAAGCTTCCCTCACTGTTGCGAACACACTGGCTCTGTGGAGAACCCCCCTGGAGAAGCATGACTTAAATGCTCTGTCTTGGAGCCCACAGCATGCTTCTGGCACAGCTCCTAGATTTCTCCATCTTATCCGCTTCTGTCTGACTTCATGCCTGATTAGAAGCATATTTCTACGAGTAAATCTAAAAGGAGGCTCTGAACAGCAAGTAGAATGGCAAGGTGGCCCTTTCCTCATCCTCATCTTCATGGCCCTGCTAAAACCATCTGGTTTTAAAGTTGAGGTTGGGATGAGCTTACAGTTTATGGGTCTTTGAACATATGTGGTGTTGTCCTCACATCTCATCGGAACCAATTACGACTATAAACCAGGATTTATCCCCTCCTCCTCATCACAATTTCATTTTCTTGAGTGAGTGATGTTCAAATGGCTGAGCAATATCCTTAGACAGAAACACAGTCTCAGCTTGCTATCTGCCTAGAACAAACACTAAGGAAATATCTAGCAAAGTTTTGACCATGTGTCTGCAAGTTGTCCACTGAAGGACCTTAGGCTTGCTAGAATCTGAAGCAGTAGATTCCCTGCCTGTTTGGCAAACCTAGACTTAAAAATAGCTAGTCACTGTCTCATGAGCCAACCAGATACTGGGACACAGACTCTGCCTTCTTTGGTGGACTCTACCACCCTGCCCTCTACCTAAATCACAATGTCTGCTGGGGAAAGCCGACTGCAGTTGAGCTGAATAATGTGGCTCTCGCTTGTCATAGAACAGTTGCTCTCTGCTTCTAATACAAGCCTCTCCAGTCCTGAGGGGACTTGGTGCCATTGCTCTCAGTCCAATGGCTTCTCCATTAAAGGTGGCGGTTCTGTCCCCAGGATCCCAGCCAAACCCAAGGAGAAGGGAGAGTATCTCTCTCCCCATCTACTGCTACTGCCCCCTCTCTCACATAAGCTGCAGTGGTCTGACAAGAGACATTCTAGAAGCAAGAGTAAGAAGTCGGTCCTCAGCTTCAAGTCTTAGATGGACAATGGAATCTTGAGCATTTTGTGAGTAGGGAGCTGGTGTGTTTCTACTTTTTGGTGGGGTGTGTCCAAGCCTGGTGTGAAACATCATTTGATAAATTTGTCTTTTGATGGGTAGTACCAGCATGTATGTTCTTGAATGGGTGTCTCCCAGAATGGACCTAGAAGAACACTCAAAATCATCAGTTATACATTGTATAATGTTCTGATAATTTTATTCAAAGAATAATTCATTAACAAAGACATTATAGAGTTAGAATGCAAAATGCTTCATGAATTTTTAAGCTAGAACTTGGGGTTGAAAGATGTTTTCTTCCTCGAGGCATGAGGTTCAGGCAAAGTCCTTGGACACCACCACCCCCCACCCCCACCCAGGCCAGCTCAGCTACCTTGCTTTGCCCCCAGGCTTAGAAGTTTGGGGAAATGTGATAATCAGCATGATCATTAAGGTCTGTTCCAGCTTTTGAATCTAAAACTACCTCCTCCTTTCTCTCCTAGGGTCCTTATTTTTTCTGGAAGTGAGACAAAGACACTCTACTAGATTAAAATTCTCTCAGTGTTCATGATGTACCATTTAAGCAAAAAGTCACTCTGATGGGACACAGGTTTGTGCATTCAAGAACATTGAAGGGTGTCTGGACCAAGGCTGCTGCTGTCAAGGACCATCTGAGTATCCACCATGTCTAGATATATGACCTTAGGCATGTCCCTTAATCTTGGCTGTGTCTCAGTTTCCTCATCTGTAAAACTAGGAATAATAATAGATGAGACTGTACCTCATCGGGTTAATATCAAGATTGAGTGAATATCAATGAAATGCTTAGAATAGTGCCCAGCATATAAATCCTATAAAAATGTTTTTGATGCAAGACAAAATATATTTTGGAAGTCTTTCATTCTCAAGATACTTACTTTTTCTTTTCAGTTTCAGCAATGGCCTTTCCTTACTTGCTTCTCCCATCAGAATTCCTACAGCAGTTGTTTTATGGATAAATTGCAGGACAACTTACTTACCCATGGTGGGGTGAAGAATTTGTATAATAGCCAGTGCTGGCTATTCTGAGCAAGACTGCCCTTATTGGCAAGAGAAAAGTGCTTGGACAGGCTGAATAATTGCCTCCTAATAAAGATGTCTGCATCTTAATTCCCAGAATCTGTGAATATGTTGCCTTAATGGGAGAAGTGGTTATGTTAAGGAACTTGAGCTGGGGAATTTATCCTGGATTATCTTAATGGCCTCACTATAATCACAGGGATCTTTATAATAGGGAGGAGGGAGATCAGAAAGGAGAGAAGATGCTATACTTCTGGCTTTGAAGATGGAGGAAAGGACCATGAGCCAAGGAATGTAGGCAGATTTTGAAAGCTGATAAGGCAATGGAACAGATTCTCACCTGAAACTTCCAGAAGCAATGCAGCTTGGACAGCACCTTGATTTTAGACTTATTGACCTCCAGAGCTGTAAGATAATAACTTTGTGTTGTTTTAAGCTACTAATTTGGTACAGTAACAACAGGAAATAATCAATGCTCTGTACCAGAGTTTCTCCAAATGGAGTCTGGAAAGTTCAGAGAAGTTAATCTTGCAGCAAGATGTCCAGAGTGAACCACAGCCCAAGTAGAGAAATAACACAAAAAAGACATGTATTTTTAAAATATCTATTTGGCATCTTCCCATTATTTGTTTCAGGGTCATCTAATAATGACATCATTTGTGTCTGACCACAGATGATACCTGTACTTCCCCATACAAGTTCTGCCCTTTAGTTGCCCAGTGCAAAGCTTTACTCTGAGCAAGAAACCGAAACATATTCAACCGCTGAGCACATGTTATTCCAGCTGTTCTGCTTTAGGTGCAATCTTTTGCAAGAACTGCTGCTGGTCAAAAGCTCAAACCACAAAACCAACCAGAGCCAGCTTGGAGGACAGAGATAGCTGAGAGGAAGGAGTATGTCATAAAGAGGCACATGTAGAAAGGCCTTCTTGTTCACTTTAAAAGTAGCCCTTCCTCCCTGACCCAGTGAGATAGTGCTTTGAACAGAATTCCCCCTTGTTCATTGCTTATTAAACAATAATATTCTGGCCCTGCTTTTCTGAACCTGGTCATTGTATTAATTGGCTGCTAATCACCAGCTGGCAGATGCCTTGGGATTCGTGACACCTGCATGTATTTCAAGGCATAGTGGGAAATTTGTTAGAAGATATTTGAAAAGTTTTCATTTTTCTTTTTCCATTTCTTCCATTGATTTTTCTGATTGTTCTCTAGATCTTTTATTTATATTTTTATAGATAGTACGGACAACTTTCATCACAAAACTTCTGTGTGTAAGGCACTCTGCAAAATATGTATGTGCATTTATTCATTTAATCTTCACAATAACTTTTTGAAATATATGATACCATTATGACTACTTTACAGATGAGGAGACTGTGGCACTAAAGGGATAAGTAACAATCTCACATGACCCAGCTAGGAAGAGGGCAAGCCAGCCTTCAAATCCAGATGATTCAATTCCAGAGCTCCTGAGCCTAATCATCACGCTTTCTTGTTTCCCATAACAATGAACTTTCTAAGGGTCAAGTGCTGCTCTTGCATTTACCTCCCCCCTTACCCCACCCCATTTCTTGAGCATCTGTTATTGCCAGGATGATGGTAGACATATCTTCTACACCTATTGCTTCACGTCATCTCTACTATAACCTTTTGTGCTTTGTCTGAGGTCAAACAAATATTAAACAGGAAGAACCCCAAGCCCGTGTTCTTTCCAAACCACTAGTCAGAACTGCAGAAATGAGAACACTGGATTTGGAGTCAAAAACCCCCAATGGGGTCTTAGCTCTTCCACATATTATCAGCTATATGACTTACGCCAGTCTCTTTACAGTTTGGACCCATGTTGTTCCACCTTTAAAGTGGAGGTGATGTCGCCCACTCGGTAGGGCCCATTGTAGCACCTGGTGGATCTACAGCTGGGCATCAGAGATGGCTGCCCCGAGGCATCAGCAGAAGCTGGGTTCTGGAGCAGAGCTGTGGTGGCTACTCCACCCTTCTTCCATGAGCCCAACTCTTGTGTTGCCTTCTTGCCTTCTCCAAGGGAAGCCACCATCAGATTGGGAGGGTTGGCGATTACTGCCTGGGAGCAGTTGGGTGTCACGTGAGGTGTCAACCCTATTGCTCCCCCCACCTCCCAACCAGGGTCCTCTTGCCAAGAGCAGCAGCCGCAGCTTAGAGAGACTCACTCTCATGTGGGGCTGAGGGCAGAGCTAAGGCCCTACTATTTTTGGTTTTCCCACCCCAAAGATAAGGGAGAAATGAGGCAGTCTAGAGCACCCTCCACGCCCAACTCCAAGAACCAAAAAGGCTTTCCTACGCCATGTTTCCAGGTACCAAACCAGGCACGGAAGGAAACTGGAATACAAAGGGACTATAGGGTCTTCTGGTTTGAAGTTGGTGAGGGGACCCAGGGCCGGGATGGAGACCCCCCACCAGATTCTACTTCCCTAGCTCCAGGGGAAGGGACATAGGGGGTCGCCTGGAATAACCTCCCAACCCAACGCAAGCACCAGGAAGGCTTGTCAGCTGCCTACCACATTGTTTAAAACAAATTGGTATTTTTCACTGTTCTATGGAACTTATATGAAAGTCTATGTCTTGATTTGGGGGTATTTTACTTTCAAACATTTTCAGTTCTCATTACATGTGAATGGGAGTGGAAGATTGCCCCGCTACCCTAGGTGGGTGATTCATAGCTACTTTGTGACTTTCTAAGGGCAAACTATAACCCCTTGGCTGCATATGCTGCAGCAGGAGCAATATTGCTGGCTCAGTGTTTCTCAGCACTGGCTGCACATTACACTCTTTTGGGGAGACCACAGGGAATATCAGAGCCCAGATCCACCTCACGCCTAGTGAAATCAGAATCTCTAGGGCCAGGCATGGGTGTTTTTAAAGCTCCTTCTCTGGTATTAATGGGCAATCGTGGGGCACCTAGAAGAGCGGCTAAGAGCTCAATCTTTAGAATGCGGCAGAGCCACATCTATTACTCAGGAACTGCATTGCAATGGGCAAGATGGGCGAGACACTTGAGCATTCCTTGCCTCGGTTTATTCATCTGTGACCAATATGTAGAGTAGCACTTCTCAAAATTTTTCATGTCATAGAACACAGAGAAAATTAAAATATTTATAAAGTGTCCCAGTGTAAAACAATAGGAGTGTGTGTAGCGCTGCTATATAATACCTATTTTGTATTCATGTTATGTATTCTATGCAGGCTATGTCCCTTTAAAGGCAGGCTGGTTGGGAGCATTTGCAGAAAAGAGCAAATAAGGGAGTTTTACCTACCGATCCACCATGGAATATTAGAGCCAACAGGGGCTTTAGAAAAGTAGCTGTTCTAACCTTCATTTCACGGAGGAGGAAACTGAGGCTAAGGAAATGGGGGCGGGGCACTCAAAGAGTGTGTGGGCGCTGCGTGGGGATTGCCTTTGGTCAATATCTATCACCGGGCCAGGAAAATCTTACCCTTTCTTGATAGGAGGGCAGTTTCCAAACACCTCATTAAGGTGCTCACTTACACCACCCTCCATAAGTGATTCATCGGGCCTGACATCTTTCCTGCAGCCCAGGAGGCTGGCTGAGAGGCAACTGACTTAAAGTGCCAAGGTCTGTGCCAGATGACGGCAAACGTGCTTCTTTGCTCTTTTTCTTTCCCGTTTCAATCTGAAAAGCTGCAGTCAATGACTGTGTGCAGAATTAAAGCCAGGAGGGAGCATAGAGGCAGAATCAGAGAACCACTCAAGATAGACTAGTCAACCACTCAGCATGTTGAAGTCATTTGTGTAGCTAGAGAATTGTTTTTCCCCTTTAGGTTTATTTCAGCTGCAGAATGGTTGGGGTTCAGGGGAGCTGTTTGGGTCCTGACACTCGAGCTGCTTCTGCACTACTGATTTATAACAGACTTGATTCTGGTAACACTGGTTACCCTGTTTACATGCAACCCAGAGTTCTCCTCCACCCGCTCCTTTAATTTCATTTCCCGATGCTGCATGGAGGTGGAAAAACAGAAGGTAAAATGGAAAATGTGTTGGTGACAAAGAAAGGCCAAGAAGCCACCAGTTAGTAACATGGGCTTGAAAGTGGAGTCCAGGTGCATTCTCTCCAGTATGGGTACAGGCTGCCTTTGAAACAGATGTCACTGCTCCTCTGCCATTCTCTTTGCATAAGGGAGGCGCAGAGCTCCAGAATGGGAGACAATAGGCATTAATATCCATTGGAATGACAGCTGTTTATGACTCGCTTTGCTCAGGACACGTGTCCCCCAAGCAGAATGATTAGTGCTTCAGCAGAATACGGTATTTGTGAGTAATCAAAAGTGAATGGCAAATCGTTTGGACTAATGGGAAGCAGGGTCCGCATCCGCCTTTCTGGAAGTTCCCACCAAGAATAAGTAATAAAATGAGCCCACAGCAGTAGCCTCCCTTCTACTCATCACATGGTGGATTTGTTTAGTGTATCCTGGGAAAACTCACCTGCCTCACCAGGGTGTTAGGAGGATTAATTAATGTTTGTAAAGTGCTTGGAATTCCACTGAAGAAATGTTCCTTGTCGATGCAAATTATTATCATTCTATAGTGCCTTTTATCCCAGAATCTCAAAATGCTTCCCCAACAATTAATTAAGCCTCACTACACCCCTGTGCGGGAGGAAAGCACCATTCTGCTTGCACTAATACAGCAGAGTTTCTGCACCTGAGTCACAGAGTCTAATGTTAAAGTCGCCCTCCAGGAGGGAGAAAGACCCCATTAGCGAGCATCCCTAAGTGATTCATGAGTCGCTAACAATGCAAGGCAGAACACTCCACTCCATACCTATGGCCATAAGGACATGTTTAATTTCATTTGGTCCCCGATTGTCTGGGCTGCTTGTTTTATTTTTCTCCCTCCCTTGTAAAGCAATAAGGCGCTTGTCAGAGAAGAGACCAATTAGCAGCTGCAACGAGTTACAATGTTCTAATCCTATTCCTTAACATCTGTAATTCCAGAAATGAGTTGCATCCCTCTCACACCACAAACACCCCAAAAGAGGTTAATTTACATCTTTAATGGGATTATTAACAGGATGGGCAGCTAGGCAGTGTGTTAGC